ATATACCGAATTGAAAGTTAAAATTAAAATAATTGAATTAATTGACAAATACATTGCTCTGATATCATGACATCAGTGCTGCGACGCGTTAAAATTGGTAATTGATTTATTTGTTCTATGTAAAATGGTGTTTTAGGGTTCCGTATCTGAAACCTAATAATAAGCATTTTACTATATCCTGTGCATCCTTCAATCGGTCCCATTAATATCTATCCTATCTTTCAATGAGTGTATCCTTTAAGCTCCAGTACGTACCTACCTAATCAGTTGTAATTGTCTCGACTTTATGCAAATACTTTTTGAACGTGCTAAAAATCTGTGAAACTACAAATCCCTATAGCATTTTATACTTTTTCATATCATCAATAACAACAAAGTTACAGGCTCACGAATATTTATTTTTTCAAATGTTTGCTTTTACGAACTGAAATATCGATATTTAAACAAAAAAAAAAGGTACAAAATTGAATAGATCATGTATTTTGTATTCTCAATAGTTAATAGTGACAGACTTATTTGACATATTTTAATGATTTTTCAAGTATATTATGAAATATATTGATAAAGGACATAAAATATCAGTAATAAAATTATCGTATTTCAGTTCAGTCGTAAGAGCATTTAAATTTGAAAAAATAAATATTCGTGAGCCTGTAACTTTGTTGTTATTGATGATATGAAAAAAAATGACACAGACTTTTTTATAGGATTTTAAACGTACTACAAATTTGCCATTTAACATTTTTCTGTAACTCTTACAGTTTAGCTAAAAAATGCAAAAAACCATAAATTTGAACTTTAAAGCTATATAACAAATAAAATATTGAAGATAGAAATTCGACTAAATGGAACTTTTTGTAGTAAATTTAATAGTAAAAACGGTCCACTCATTCATTTTATTTTTTAATATTTTCGTCATAGTTTGCAGGCCAAAAAAAATGTTAAAAATCATATTTTCCATACAATTTGTATGGGAAAACTTAAAGTTCGATGGAGAACCTCTTAGAATTAGAATTTTGAGCTCCACTTTTAACAGGAGCTTTGTTGGGATATTTTCTAAGATATTTTAGGGTGAGAGCGAAGAAAAAAAAATATCGTCATTTTTTGGCACACCCTAATAAATATATATATATAAACAAACTACGCGGGCCAAACCGTGGACAAACCCTGGTGATTAATAAAGTTAGACCAATAGATGGTTAATTAGCACGTCGTCAACATCGATGGTTAGCAATAGATTTTACTTGTAGGGACGTGCCAAAAAGTTAAAGGAAATAACCTAAAACTAAATATCACATAATCCAATATGAAAGGCTGTATATTACTTATATATTTTATGTAGGCATTTTTTCAAACATTCATAATTATATATTTAGATAAGCAAAATTGAAGTGTCTGTTTGTAATGTTAAAATAACAGCTTTGTATTAAATGCATATGAAATTATATACGGTAGGTACTTATAACAAAAACACAATTTTCAAAACTTTTGCCTGTCTGTCTGTTTGTTCTAGCCAATGTCCGAAATGGCTGGACAGATTTTGATGGGACTTTTACTCGCAGATACCTGACGTTATAAGGAGTAACTTAGGCTAATTTTATTTAAGAAAGAGAATTAGAGTTCGACTAAAAAAAATTAAAACGTACTCAGGGACGCATCCTAGAGAAGTGAGAATAAGTCGCTAGTTTTACTTGGATCTGAATCAAGAGTCTTCCTTTTTTGAAGTTGATAAAACATGAAATAAGCTTATTAAAAAAATACCACTTGTAACAAGTTAACAATCGATTAAAGTCTCGGAAATATTCTGATGGTTATTTTGATGTTCGATTCGATGGTTGACTTGATTGCAGAACAGTGCCGATTCTCTCTATTGTTACCAGCATATTGCGTGCAGATACATTTTTACGGGCTGTTCTCGTCGAATTGTTCATTGTTAGAAAAAATGTGCTCTAAGAGATTAGAAATTAGTTAATAACAAAAAAATCGTCTAAACTCTAAAAAAATTAAGTCTTCTCCATAGAGATACATTTATAATGTCATATGATGTAAGTCCGGTGAATCATTAAGTCAACGAGGGTCCCTCATTTTAAACATAGAAATACAGCAGCGTTAAAGTGGTTTAAAATGGACAAACCGCAGTAGTAAGGCCATACCTGTGTATAAAAATGTAAACAAAATTACTAAATCGTATTATTTCAAGTAAGAACTTTAAATTTTACATACTTAATAGATAGGTACTTCACACAGCTATTTAGAACTCACATTTAGATCTATTATCATCTATATTTAAAATCTATTATCTACCTTTGAATTTACAGTGAACAATGAAGATTTTCTATAGGTACATTATTTTAATAAAATTGTAACTAAGCCGAATCTGTAAATTAAATATTTTTTGGAAAATGTTATTTAAACAAACATTAATTATTATTGATACAGAGGCCGAATCTATAGTTGTTAGAGTTTTTGTTTGTCTGTCTGTCTGTTACCGCATCACAGAAAAACCACAGCAGGGATTTTGATGAAATTTGGTAGGTGATAGCTGGTTATCCAGGTCAACATATATGATACTTTTTACCGCTAGAAAAAAAAATTCTGAGAAAAAAATCAAAAACTGGATTGTAACAGTATACTAATATGTGAAACCTAAGAATTTGGTTTTCGTTCTCCTGAACGCGGACGGAGTCGCGGGCAATGCTAGTATATTATAAGTATTTTAATTAAGCTTTATGAAGTAGTTGTAAAGGTTTAGTCTTAATTAGTCTGTCGTTACCAAACACAGTGTACACCTAGAAAATAATATTATTTTCTACGATATGTTCTACATAATAAACAATTGTGGTATTCCCACCACTATCCTGTGCGATTGGCTCTGTCACATTGATTATGCCGAGGGCATAGCTTTGTCTCATCGAGATAAAGGGTAGTGTTACAACCGCAGTTACTCATTTGTCGTGTATGGTTTTTATGCCAAGATGACTTTATTTATCTGGATGATGTTTATTATTATTTGTTATTTAAATAAAGATAAATATATTAAAACTAGCGCCTGACCCTCGCTCCGCTCGGGTTCGTCCATAGATAGTAGATACGTTTTAACGGTTATTTAAGATTTGTTAAAGATGAGATATTTTCCCGCAGTAAAAAATATCTTATAATATGTTGACCCATATAACTATCATCATCATACCAAATTTCATCAAATTCTAGTTATCAGTCTGTAAAGTGGTTTTCTCGTGATGCGTTCCCAGACAGTCAGACAGACAAAAATTCTAAAAATAAATTCGGCCTCTATATCGATAATAATAACTATTTCAATAAGATATTCCAAAAAAAAAATCTTAATGTACAGATTTGACTCGGTTTTATTTATCTAATTGAGTAATCTGTAAAAAGATTTTCGTTAATAACCTGATTTTTTTTATGTAAGTGTGACTCTCGGCGAGTTTTTCTAGAATGAAACGTCTTTATTTTCACACTCACACTCGCGTTATAATGTAAATTATCAGGGGCGATATAAATAGAGAAGATTAAACATCGTCTTTTATGTAATAGGCGTCAAATCTAAAACTTGTTTTTCTTGATTTCTTATTTGTATGCAGCGAATAAAATCTTGGGAACTATTCTAAGAAATGGAAGTACTAGATTTAACTATCGCGGTTCCCGCCACTCGAAATGGGAGAGATTTCTCTAAAGAACGGCGCCACACGTGTAGCCTATTTACATTCAGTCTGAGGTTAAGCAATTTATTGTGATATATCCTTTGTACCTGGTTTTTTCCTTTTATTGTGTTCACTTCTTACCTGGCCAATGTATTGTACCTGTAAATAAACCAACTGAAGGAAGAATTGAGAAGGAGAGGTGCATCCTGTGATGGTCCTGACTGACTGATGTATCAACACACAGCCTAAACCGCTGGTCGTAGAAAAGTGAAACTTGGAAGACGTATTTCATATAATATAGGCATCCGATAAGAAAAGATTTTTAGTAATTCGTCCCTTAAATGGGTAAAATAGGGGATTAAAGATTGTATAAAACTCTATAAATAATGTGTAAAAAAGTACAAAAAAAAAAACACCTGTAGACGATTTAAGAGTTGTAAGATTACTTTCTGTAAAATGATTTCCACATAGCCTCAAATATAAAGATTGTGATTTTGCCAATTTTGGTCGTATTATTGCTTTAGAACACAATTTCTTCAGTGTTTGTCTTTAGGAAACAAATGATATCGATTTTCTTTGCATCTTGGCATTGCATAATTTGTCATTTTAATTAAATTTTATATAAAATGAAACGCTATAGAGCTTTACAAAATACAGAGGGCCATAGTGATCACGACATCTGGTGGGATAAAAAGGCAACATTCTTCCTCATTGTTTCTTAATATTATATTTTTTAGAAGCAGTCCAATGCCTTTCTCTTATAAAAATATTTATTTCCGATAAAGGTTAGTGTATTCTTGAACTTGAGATACCTATAAATGGTTAAATTTTTTTTATAAAAAACAATGTATTTGAATTGAACAACCCTTTTTACTTAACCATTAGAAGTAATAACCAAACAAAAAAATCTAAAAACTGTAGATTCAGCTTCTGTATTAATAGTAATGTCTATTTCAATAAGATTTTCCATAAAATATTTAATGTTAAAATTTGACTCAGAATTTTATTATAAGTAATATATTTTTTTTTCCTTGTTTTAAACTTTACACGAGAAAATTATATTGTGAGAGTAAGATATACTAATAAATAAAATAATATAAATGTAATTGTTATATTTTCTATCTTCTTGAACATTTCGATTTTTTTAAGTGATGTGAGGCTGAAAAATGTAAAGTTACTACATGTTTGATGGAAAAACAGTATGTAAAATGTGAAGGTTTCCTGACATTTGTCAATACTTAATTGTCAGTGTCAATGTCACTTACAAAAAAAATATTGATGCAGTAGCATTTTGCAGTCTAATTTTCTTTTAAATATTCTATAAAATAACTAAATATAATGGCATCTACGTCTAAGGATACAATAACAAGTGCTAAACCAGAGAATGAACCTAATGATATTGAACCAGGCGCCTGTTCGGACAGTATTCTTAACCCTACAGATTCTTTTGAAGAGTTTGTATCTGAGATGAGTTCCAGCCTCCAAGACAGAAACGCTCTTACTTCAAAATGTAGTACAATAAGTGAAATACAAAGTGAAATTGGTGAAAATTCTAAAGAATCGTTAAGGGAAACAAAATCAAGTGATAACTTACAAAACAAAGATGTAAGTAATTTATCTACATTACTATGCCATTTCTAATTAATTTTGGTGGGTGGATATCGCTTTTAATTATAAAACTATTAAGATACTTGTATGTTATATTGCTGCTTTAATTATGTGACAACTGTCAGAAACCTAAAATCTAATATGTAGAATAACAATTAAAACTTCCTACATATTTTTCCCAGATTTTCCATTTAGAACTAGTATATTGGTCAATAAACTGAAAAAGACATTTAATTTCTTTACTGTTCACAGGAAACAATGTCAGCTTCGCCTAGCAGTTCAAATCTTAATGAAGAAAATGGAGATGAAATGGATGATAGAGATGATTACTTAAAATCACCTGAATTAGTTAATAAAGAAAAACACGTTTTTATTTTGAGTTCAGCTGGAAAACCTATTTATTCTAGGTAAATATATATTCACATAAATATAATGTAGTTATATACATATTATGTAATGATTTCAATATTTTAATACTTTTTTTTAGTTTTTACCTTTTTACAACATACTAATGCAATTAGATAGATAGATTAGTTGGTCATTTACTTAACATCATTATAATTAAGGCTTTAGGTGATAGCTTTAAAATATTGCTAATGTTGAAAACATACTCTAAATAAACATGCTTGCAGAAACTTTATTTGCACATTACCATGTAACTTTTAATTTACTTTAGTTCAGAGACATTGGGACAGAGAGTTGTAATAAAACAAAGTTCTTCATTAAAAGGACAGATAGAGCTAACTTAATCATCATCATGATGATGATGATGATTCCTTAATTTCTAAGATTAAATAATATTAAGTTACAATGATGAGTGTTTTAACCTACATTTTATTACTATCCGAAACATACTTTTAAGAAAGGAATATGATGTATCCATTTGATGACATAACCCTCTTTTGATGTATGAATTACTCTCTCTTTATTTCTCTGTGTGTTTTTTGTAATGTTTATTAAAGTTTATATTGTAAACCCATAAATATTGTAGTTATGAAAGCTTGTTATTTGATGGTACCAGAACAGCTGAATGAATCTGGATGAAATTTGGCACAGAGAAAAATGTATGGTTCCTGTGGTATAGATATATTTTAACATATATTTTTTAAATTTATAATCTTTATATTAATATCTAGCCTATTATTTACAGATATGGCAATGAAGACAAATTAGCGGGCCTATGTGGTGTTATACAAGCGTTAGTGAGTGTAGTTGAAGAACAAAACCAGGATATATTGAGATCCATTAGTACTAAAGATTGCAAAGCAGTGTTCCTGGTTAAGGGGCCCTTAATATTGGTTGCTGTTTCTAAATCAAATGAGAGTGAAACACAACTTGTGCTACAATTGACGTAAGGATTAGACTTACTAACTTAAATTTTTTTGAAAGTGTCTGTCTGGAATATGATAGTTATTTTTCTTGAAATGATTTTCTTATTCTAATGCCTTGTGAGATACACAGACAAAACATCGACTATGTTTTCTGTTTATATAATATTAATTTTCATACAATAATACTAATTACACTTTCCCTTTATTTAATTTTTAAGCACTGATGACAACTGTAAGTTATATTCACACACACACACAACTTTTTTTTAAATATATCGATAAAATTTAACATCTTATGAGTACTGAATGCCAACTAACACCAAGCAATCTAATGTCCTTCTCATCTGTTTAACTTTACTTGGCTTTACATTGTGTGTTTGTGAAGTTGTAGGGGATAATCTCTGGACATACTGAATCGATTTAGATGAAATTTGGTAAGAAAATAGTTTGAAACCCTGGGAAGGATGTAGGATAATTTTTATCCCGGAAAGCATCCCTTAAGGGGATGAAAGTTTGTATGGGGAATCAACCTAGGGACGAACCCGAGCAAGGCGAGGGTGAGTCGCTATTAATTTATAAACATATTTTCAGGTATGCCTTCAACCAAATAGTATCCGTCCTAACATTAACACAGCTAAACAGAATATTCGAACAACGTAGAAACTACGATTTACGTAGACTTTTATCTGGGGCGGAAAGATTGATAGATCATTTATTGATTTTTATGGAAAAAGATCCAGCATTTTTGCTAGGAGCAGTCAGATGTCTGCCTCTGCCGGAAAAGGCTAGAGAAAATATCACAAATGCTATTACGTCTACTTGTAATAAAATAAGGGATCTAGTTTTCGCCATATTATTAGCTGGGAATCAACTAATAACGTTAGTTAGAATGAAAAAATACACTTTACATCCATCGGATATACATTTGCTGTTCAATTTGGTAAGGAGTTCTGAGTCATTTAAGACGGCAGAAAGTTGGACGCCTATATGTTTACCGAAGTTTGATGCCACGTAAGTTTTTTTTTAAATAAATTTATAATTAAGATTTTCAAATTTTTATATTAGAATTAATTATTCCTGTAATTAAGGCTAAATTGCCAAGTGTAGTAATTTTAATGTTTTAACGAAAATATGTACCTATCCACCAACTTTATCGATTTTCAATTAAATAATCTTAGGGGATGGATTGTTCGAATTATTTTTCAAGTGTTTTTGAAACCGCCCATGATGTGGTATCACACGGTGTGGTTAGTTCACAATACACAAAAAATCATGCACTCAAATTTAGTACTGGCTTCTTTTTTGAGATGATAAAAACTATTTATACCTGTAATCATTTTTTACTTCCAGTACAAATGATGTAAGAAATTCTAGTAATTAACATGCTGTAATAGATGTTTTTTTATTATAATATTTGAGTTTTTTTTTAATTTACACCTGACTAATACCTGACTACCTATGATATAGTCCAGATTTTAAGCTATCTCCATTCCAAATTCTACTCACAACTGTTAAGCCAATACAGCATAAACAAGTAATAGACATACACACAAACTTTCAGATTTTAAAACTATTCAAACATTATTACAGGGGATTTCTACACGGCCACGTGTCATATATATCAGAGGACTGTCAAGCTTGCCTCTTATTACTAACTGTTCAAAGGGATGCATTCTTTCCATTATCACAAGCAAAGCATACAATATCAGAAAAACTAAGACGATCGAATTGTCTAGTTGCTATCAATGATGCTTTGAATAGAAATAAAGAACTTCCAACTACAAACCCATTAAAACATATAGCCATACCAGAAATAAGGCATTTTATGTACAAATGCAAGTCTACGGCACAACTGTTTACTTCAGACCCAATCAGCTTGGATAGATTACAGGACTATAGACTAAAACACATGGATGGTGATATAAAAGAGAAGAAGATAGAGAAATTGTCAGATATCGATTATGTAAAGAATTACAGAAAGTTTTGCAGTCAAATTCATTGTTTGACGAACCCGGCTAAGTTGATATTTAGGTCCAATTCACAGGATACGGTTTTGGCTTGGGTGAGATATGTTTGTTTTTTTGTTCTGAAAAGAATATATCCTAATTTATTATATGCACGTTATTAGTTTTTTTCTTAATTTAAATTTTTAAGGTTTACTTAAAAACTTCTTTTTTTTTCTTATTTTAAAGACTTTTTAATCAAAAGTTTACGTAAACTTGAAGTTTAAAAAAAATACAATAAAAACCAATTCATTCTGTCTCATATAAATCCAGGCTTTAACCACAATTAAATTAATAATTATTGCGATTATTATAATGCAATTTTTTTTATTTCTTTTATTGAAATAATAAGTTGACTTTCTATCCTGTTCGATAATAATATTAACTAGTGCTTACCCAATACAAATAAACAAAATAGTTATCGACTAATAAGGAATCGATATCGATATTATTTAGTAATTGAATAATTTGAATATCTCTTTAAAAAGATTTATAATTTAATATGGAATATTTTTTATTTAATTTTGGCTGTTATTATTATATTTATTACAATTTTTAGAAAATTTGATTAATTAGTAATGTTATTTAGTGTTGCACTTATAATATTTATAAACAGAAAGAATATAAAATATTAATTATTCAAAGCAACATTATTGTGTAATTAAAAAAAGTTAAAATTGAAATTAATTAAGAATAGAATTTTAATTTAGATTGCAATTATTTAGAAAAGAATCAAAATTATAAGCAACACTATGTACTACTATATTTACAATAAAGAATATTAATTTGAAAGACTTATTTTTATCCGCACAGAAAGAACTTACTACATTTAACTGTCTGTTATGTTTAGATTTATTATTTTCAATATCGATTTTTTGTTTATGCACGCCTCAACGTTAATAATTATAAACTAAATATTTAAAAAGGTAGGGGGTCCTACGCAAATTAATTGTAATTTAACGATTACACTGGCACGCGTGCACTTAATCGAGTAATCATACGCCAAAATGACTTATATAATTTTGGAAAAGAGCTGATACTCTTACACTGCTGAACCGATATTAACCAAACATAAATAAGAACCACCGCTAGGAAACTGGCTTTCAAATTAAAAAAAACGCATCGAAATCGCTCCATCCGTTTGAGAGCTACGATGCCACAGACAGACATCGACGTCAAACTTATAACACCTCTCTTTTTGCGTCGGTGAGTTAAAAATGCATTCTTAAATTAAACAATCTATAACATATCTATAAATGTCTATTATATTTCTTTTACAGGTGACAAATGGTTTTGAGCTTTACGTAACATTTGATCCTCTGATGGAGAAAGACCATGCAATTCGAGCAGTCGATAGATTACTTCATTGGATTAAAAAGGAAGAAGAGAGGATATTTATTATGCATGCACCGACTTTCTAGCCAAAGCTTACACTTAGTGGCATTTTAAAGAACTCCATTAGTCGTAATAGTGGTGAAAGCGAGTGATTGTTAAACGATTTTGTGATAAAATCGATTTTAAATTATGAAAGTTGAACATATATGTTAAAATAAATTGTTAATAATTTCCAAGTAACAATGAATTGTAGATAGTTTTTTAACTCGTCTACGGGGTGATTGAATAAATCGATATGATTATCGTTGAAAATTATGTATTTGGCTTTAGATCGAATAAATGTTTCCTTAACTAAATGAAAGGTATATAGTGTTCAATATTTAAAATATTTTTTTTTAAATATGTTATTTTAAACCCTGTATGTGTTTAACAAACATCATTATATTATAACAAAAATCTAAATCTAAGCTTAGAACAAATTAGGTATATTTCTTCGTGTACATTATTTCATGTTTCATGCATAATAATAACATATATTTTATTTTAAAATAATTTAATAATAATGAAATGGTTTACAAAACAGAAATAAGGCATGAGTAGAAAGCACCAAGTCCACCACCAAGCATGCGAGCTTTTATAACCACAGTCCACAGATAACATATCTTCAATTCAATTCTCTTGTTAACTGTTAATTAACATATATAGTTATACCTTAATATAAAATGGTTTTCCTTCAACTACACTTCAAGTACAATTTCAAGTGTCAGAGAAGCGAAAATAATGCCTGATTTTTTAATGAAAATATTATAATTTAATCTTGAATATACTTATTAATATTGAAACTTGTAAATAAAATATGCAATATGTATTGTTTGATAAAATTTAGATTCTCCAACTATTATCTAGAACAAAATGAGAGAGATATTCGTATAAATACAAAAATATTTTTATTATAAACTAGCTCGCTTCCCAATACAAACTTTCATCCCCATTTTCACCCCCTTAAGGCATGATTTCCGGGATAAAAGTATCATATGTCCTTCTCAGGGTCTCAAACTATCTTCTTACCAAATTTCATCTAGCCGGCTATCAAAGGCCACCCCACTAAATACAACCTTAACTCGCAAGACCACGATTTGGGGTATTTTTTTTTAATAAAGTTTTCTTCATCCCCTTCCATAACAACCAGGGGACTGTTCTCATGTATTTCAGTGTAAAATGCTGTTGATAATATCAACGCCTTAGATAAGGATAATCCTCCTCTTCTAGAGGAGCTTTTAATATTTATTTGGAATTTAGGAAGCTTAGAATTATGAATTAGAAATAATAAATTTTAACTCATTGTCACTATCTGTGATCTAGGTGTTAAATTACATAATAGTTAGTTATTGTTTGTAATATTATAATGTTATTGATTCTGTTTGTTATTTAACATTAATTTTATATTTTGAATTTATTATAAGATAATTTTTAAAGAAAAGGTTCTGCTATGAGAGTGTTCAAAGGTAAACCTTTGATCTATCCTTGGGGCATACAAAGTGTAATTCTGTAATCATTGAAGAATCTGTTCTTAGAATTAGAAATATGTATAAAAAAATATATGTTATGTTCTATGACATAGTAAAATATATGACAAAAACATAAAGATTCAATGTATAATGTCAATACAATTTTTAAGAAATTCTGTTAACAACAATTATTGAGTGAAAACGACGACACGTCTGGCTCAGTTTGTAGTGACCCTACTTGCTGTGCCAGCGGTCGCGGTTTCGAATCCCGCTGGGGGCATTTATTTGTGTGATGAGCACGAATGTTTGTACTCCAGTCATGGGTGTTTATATTTATAGTATGTATGTATTTAAAAGTTATATATGTGTAGTGTATCAACTATCTGGTATCCATAACACAAGCCTCGTAGCTTACCGTGGAACTAGATGGTGCTGTGTGTTAATGTCCCAACATTTTTTTATTTTAAAACGATTGTTGAATAATATCTTGTCTAAGCGATCTTGTGTGTGAATTTTTTTCTATATTTTATTCACTGATTATAATTATAATGAAATCTTATTATTTTTAATATTAAAGTAAATTTTAGATTTCTAAAAAAAAAACAGTAAACTCCCAATTGCTAAGTGAGCTTAAGCAAAGTATTTATTCAAAATATTGTATATAAAAATATTAAAGAAAAATGTATTAGCAAAAAAGAATATTTTTAATAAATCATATTATGGTAGACAAAAATCGGGAAATATGTACCTTAAATTAATATTAAAATAAAGTTAAAATTAGCATTACATAATATGTAGCTTCTTATTTGAAAAATAAATATTATTAATATTTTTTTCTAATTTATATTTTTTTTTAGTATAATATTCTTATGATATCTATACTAATATTATAAAGAGGTAAAGTTTGTGAATTGTGAGTTTGTGACGTTGTAGGGGGTAATCTCTGGATCTACTGAACCGATTTAGATGAAATTTGGTAAACAGATAGTTTGAGACCCTGGGAAGAACATAGGACACTTTTTATCCCGGAAATCATCCCTTGAGGGGGTGAAAATGGGGACGAAAGATTTATGGGGAATCAAGCTAGGGACGAACCCGAGCGAAGCGAGAGTGAGTCGCTAGTTAAATAATATATTAATAAAACTTTCGGATTTGGAACGAATATTTATCTAAATAATTATAAGTGATATGAACTTAATTGTAAAACAAAAGAAGTACCTGGTATAGATTCTTAGATAGATAGAATCTTAGGAACTCTAATCCGATTTGAAAAATGTTTTAAAATAAATATATAACAAAGACATGCTGTTAAAAATTAGCCATTAACTCCCAGAGTATATTTCATGGCTTATAATATAATATTTATATAAAGAACACTATTACATAATGATATATAGTAATTATATATATTATATATAGTAGAATTCTGTAAATTAAAAAAAGAAGTTAAATGTGTAAATAATGTGAAGAATTTAATTGTGTGTATAATTGAATTGTTTTTTTTTAATAAATTGTTTATTGTACAGATTATCATAGCAATAAAAAATATTTTATAGTTTTATCATCAGCAAAAAGAAACAAATAGTTTTATTTATGCTCAATTTTTTTGAAGTGATCACTTCTTAAGAAAGGGTGAACCGCTTCGTTACATAACGCGTTATGGCGCCAGTCTGTCTGGCTTCCCTTTATTTCACGCATACGGCAGCGGTAGGCAGACTCCTCTCACTAACCCACAGCGCTAGCCGTATATATGTATATAGAATAAAATATATTTTATAATTAATAAAAGATTTTATTAATAAGTAACCTTTCCTTACATTATCATATTAATCTATACATATAATAAAATTGTAACTAAGCCGAATCTGTACATTAATTTTTTTTTTGAAAAATCTTATTGAAATAGACATTATTATCTATATAGAGGCCGAATCTATAGTTTTTAGAATTTTCGTCTGTCTGTCTTACCGCATCACGGAAAAACCACTGAAGGGATTTTCATGCAATTTGGTATGGTGATTAAGATATAGGATACTTTTTACAGCGGGAAAATATCTCATTTCTGAGAAAAAATACAAAAACTGCATTGTAAGAGTATACTAATATGTAAAACCTTAGAATTTGGTTTTTGGTCATCTACACGCGGGCGGAGCCGCGGGCAATGCTAGTATATATAATATACATAAAATTTAAGTAATAACCTAAGCTTTTCTCAAGTTAAACAATTTAAATATTAAATACTTAATTCAACTTGATTCGTTTAAGTTATCACTTCTGCCGGGCGTCCCGAGACGCACACGATTTTTTTAATGGTTGTTTTTTTTTCATATATGGCATTCGTGAGCGTGAGAGAGACAGAGAAAAGGAAAGACGAGAAGATATGAAGTAGACAGAGACGGGATAGAGGGCATTATTAGAATGATAAAAAAATCATTGTCTAGTATTATTGTTGTATTTTTAATTAAATGTAGAAATACATTTCAACGAACCAAAATGGTTGACTAAGAAATTTTAAATGAGTTACTCCCAAAGATAATAATAAATGCAGAAGTGTATTTGTTATTTAGTTAACTTTCTTTTTAACCCCCGACGCAAAAAGAGGGGTGTCATAAGTTTGACGTCGATGTCAGTCTCTGTGTGTGTGTCTGTCTGTGACATCGTAGCTCTCAAACAGATGGACCGATTTTGATGCGGTTTTTTTCATATATGTTTGGTTAATATCGGTCCAGCAGTGTAAGAGCGATAGTAAAATACGGCTGGATAGGCCGGATACCGGATAGTTACCGGATATCCGTTTCATCTACTCACTAGTAAGTACAATAGATAATTTTTCAAAATTAAGAAATAGAAAAATACCGTTTTATAGTAGCTTGTATAAATTTTATATTATAATAAATACATTTATTTAATAATTATTATGCAACATTTTACAAATAAAAATAATAATTTGGTATAATAGCATTAATTTTGGTTATTTACGTCACCTATTGTTATTTTCTCAAACCTGTAAGAACCATAATAAAATTGAATACGTAGTTTCTTGTTGATAAACAAGACTGCGTTCTCATACGTATATATGTAAGTGCTTACTCAATAGATGGCGCTGATAGATCTAAAAAATACGTAATTTTCCAATAGATGATGCTTTTTTGAATACTGTTAAACATTATCTTTACAAATTACAATTAAAATGGATTTATTTGTTATAATAATATACATATAAATATATTTTTAGGAACGCATAGATTCTTCCCCTTACTTTCGTTATCGCGGAATTTCACTTTCCAGAAATTTGATAAAATATCACTTAATTAAACAAATGTTCCGTAAAAAATGAATTTTAAAGCTCAATTAGGTAAAATTTAATATCACATTTTAAGATTGTGATAAGATGTAGTAAAAATATGGCGTAAACGAAGCGTGAATTATGTTGTGCTAATCACGCTTCTAGCCATCGATCGGATAATCTTCTTCAGACATTATGAACAAGAAAAAGTTGGAAGTCTTCAAAAACATATAAAAATACTAGCGACTCACCCTCACACAATTTATTCTCTGTGTTTGTGTCGCATTTT